GATACTGACAAACACCATGGAGTAAAGAGGGTATAAGTCTAGATTCATAGCCAGAGAGCCAGCCTGTGTGGTTACATGGTAATATCTTTGTCATCTAAAGCTCTCTTAGAAGCCAGACACAGCAAACCACATTCAGTATCATTATAACTGGGACCCAAAGTGACCTGTCACTAATGCTGATTGGTAGAGAATGTTGGGACAACCGATATCACTCAGCACTGATTAAATCCTGACGATAATAACTGTACAGTACATCACTCATCCATATTCATCAAGCACTGACATGCATCTGTTAAGTAATCACAGCAGCGGGAAATACAGACATGGGTGTGAACAATGTCAACAATACTGTATAATGCTCTGCAGTAAAACGCAAGCAATTTAAGTAATGAGATTGCTGGTGTTTATACGGACTGATAGGAACGATACATTTTTAAAAATGCTTACATAGCTTTTCAGATTTTCTGTATTATGGGTTATTTTTTAAATCAGTCATGGAGATTCTGAGCTGTAACCATTCATCTTACAAGAGCATTACACCGACACATATGGGGTTTCTTTTAATCTATTTAATATGTTGTACAAGACAAGTGACATGACTGCAGTCTTTTCTCCAGCTGTACAGATGGAGGAAGGCAAATAGCAGCCTGGCTGAGAAAACACAGGGAGTTGGTGGATTGAATAGGGGGCTTTGACCAGCTCTAGGAAATGAGTGGGCAAACAAAATGACAGACTCGTCCCTCTGCTCTTTGCTCTCCCTGATCTCTCATTATTTTTCCCCCCTTTATCAGCGTTGATGCTCTCAATCTGTCCCAGTGATTGCCTGACAGCATTGTAATTTGCCTAAATTGAGCCATAATGCGTCTCGTAAATTAAATTTTGTCTCAAAACCAGATTAACCCGTATGACAGGATGCACATGTGTATCTGTGTATGTGTACCAGCATGTGTATGCCTGCATTGTGAGTGTTTGTGTGTGTATACAGTATTTGCTTGCCAAGACCCTTAATCCCTTGAGCGTATGCTGAATAAATCAGAGGGGTATTTTTGAGCAAGAGAAAAAAAAAATCCAATCCCTTCAAACACTGCCCATGGATGCAACCAGTCATGAGAAAGCCAAATACATGGACAGGCAAAATCAGCAAGTTGGACACAGAACAGGCACGCAAACACACATGAAAACACACACACACACACACACAAGCACATGTACATTCATTACTAACCAGCTTTGGAGAAAAATGAATACATGTGACAATGTGACAGGACCTCATTACAAAAATAGAAACTGCTATTTTAAGCTATTTTTAAACAACCTTACATATAACTATGTAACAGTCTTACATACATAGGGACAGTGTACATTTGGTTGATTTTTATGATTTTTGTTGATTTTTCCTAAAATATACCCATAAAGGGGCAGATTTATTTAGTAAACCAATTTTCATCCAAATTTTAGTCCCCACCCAAAGGTTTTTTTTTTGCTGAAAGAAGATGCTGACCAATGCAGTTTGCAGTAAACAATGTCCTCTTGCAATGAGGACAGCTCTGAAAATCTTGCAATAACACTACGTGAGGAAAAAACTGTGGAGCAAACGCAAATGTGCTGTCTATTATGCATCTCCAAGTACTGTCAGGGGGAGAGAAAAAAAAGGAAAGGAAAAGTATAGTGGTTAAATTTCAATGGTGCAGATTTTTGCATTTTTTAAATCTGTTTTTATATCTAACAGGTATATCATCATATACAGGTCAGTGAATTCACAGATTTCTAAAAATATATATACAGTAAGATTGTTTATTCTCACTCTCTATCAAACATGAGCAAGCAAGTGATGCCTCACAGTGACACACACACATACCATCTCCTTCCATCATCTCATCTCTCCTATACTGTCAGTGGCTTGACATTTTTCCCTGGAGAGTGAGCTTAGCAGGCCTGCTCAGACAGACAGTCCGACAGACAGGTAGGGGTTATTAAATATGTATTGCAGTGCAGTGATAGGACACCGGGGGCCATTAGCTATTATAAATATATAATTTAGCTCTGCTGCATATTTCAGCCTCCTGGGCGAATGGCACCCTAGCATACAAGCCCTCTGATTAGCATCCCAATGCTAAAATGCATCTCAATTAGACTGAGTGTCAGCCCTCATTTGGTGAGGCAGGGATGGAGATAGATTGGACCAATGTATAAATGAACAAATAAATAAATAAGCCCCATGCCAGAGCATGGAGAGAAGAGAGCAGAGGGGGGGTTAGGTATCTCTGACCAACAGCATGCAGGTTTCCTGATAGACTGTGTGTGAACAGGCCTCAAACTTTAATCACTTTTGGACTGTTTAATACCAAAACAAGGCCAGTCTCACAAACTCTTATTTTTTCGCCCTCCCCAAGCTATTTTGTTTTCTCTCAGCAACACTATCCACCTGTTCTCTCCTCTGTCTTTATCTGTCTCAAATCCCTTGTTCCTACTTTTTTAACCAGCCTTTGTCTCTTCCCCACTCCTCTGTCATCCATCTTTCCCATCCCTTTACGTATCACACTGCCCCTGCCCCAACTTTACCAATCATCATGTTATCCCTCTTCCCTCTTTTCCCGGTCTCAATTTGTTTTTGGTTTTTTGCAACAATCCTTCCTCTCTCCCCCCACCTTTGCAAATAAACTCCTCTATTTTCCATGCTTTCTTCCTCAGTTTTGTCTTATCTCTTTGGTCTCCCCACTACCTCTGCCTGACTCCATCTCCATCATTTTTGCATTTGAAGAGTTTTATTCAAAAGGAGACTTCCAGAATTTCAAAAATGACAAACACTCAAAATGACTCTTGGCATGAATTCAAAACACCTTACCTGGAGCCAAAAGTAATTTCCACAAAAAACTGCTTCCACAATAGTTGCAGAACAGTTATCTCTTTTTTATTAATAGACTGATAATTTAAAGGTCTTTGTTTGTCAAAATTGATATATAGCATTTTGGCATGATGCCCTACATTCCTTCCTCTTTATCCTGCTCTCTCTTTCTCTACCTGTCGTCCCCATCAGTCCAATTACTTTAATTCCATCTCTTTCCTCATTCTCCCTACTTCCTCCATACTTTCCTGGTGACAGAGTGTGACTCTGAGCGTGTTGACAGCTAGCCAGAGGGCCAAGGCTGTCGTCTAACCCCCCGGGGAATCAATCATCTGAGCCAGGATCAATACCAAAGGGCCGTATCCTGGACCGACTACTGACTTGGCTGGCAGCAACTGACTGATGAACGGACCCACTGCTACACTGGACAAAAACAATATTCAAGGCAGCGCACACACCCATTTAGCATGCACCATTGCACAAACAATGAAATGCACTTACACTCACACCCAGATATAGTGTCATCAGTCACTCCTAAACAAATACATACAAATGTGTTTTCAGGCTGTGTATGGGAATGCATTCATGCACACATGGAGCAATGTCCATGATATGACTGAATCTGTCCAGCACGTATCCCATCTAAGCCCCACTCCAACCGATTTCTGTCTCCAAATTTGGTCTATACCACAATCGCTCAAAGTCTACTTGCAATTCTTCCGTTTGCACTGCAGAGGTCTGATTACAGGCCCACTTAGCGAGACTGTATTATACGGCAGCACAATATTAGCCCACTCCATCCATCACCGTGTGGTCCTATGCAGTGGAAACCACCGCTTATCAGCCCACTACAAGCAAGTTAGACAGACATAATAGAGCTGAACAGAGGAAGGGGGTGGATCATTGATGTGCAGTGCACTAAACGTACGATAGAGACAAAATCATATGTCCCTGGCAATTATGCCAAGTCTAGTGACAAGTTCTGCAAACACTTCTTAACAGCTTCAAACATTAGGTGATATTACTTTCTCTCATTGGCAGACAAAAGGTATCACCTGTGACATTAATATGGATAACACTTATCTTTCTCTATATTCAACAACAGCCACTGAGGCGTGAACAGTATACTCATTTTGCTTGCAATAAGGTTCATGGACGTTTTCAGTCTGGGTGGAGACGGAACGTCAATGCCGCAAGGACAAAACAAACCATCAGATACTGCCAATGACTTACAAATATCTGTTTAGCTCAATGTTGTTTTAGCCTCAAAACTGTTCAATCTCAGCAAGCGGGACTTGGAGCGACCTTTATCATCAGCAGAGGAGTACATAAAAAAGGTACAAGTGGCACCTGATTGTAATAAGACGGTATCTGACTGGGGTACATTGCACTGATTGTAATGCCAGTGGAAGTGAACATAGCAACACTGAAATTGTGTGTACAGCATCAACATCAAATATCCATATTGTTTTCTTTATCTCAATAGGAAATAGCCCCAGAGTAAAAGTAAATACCCATATCTTATATATTTGAATGCTAACCAAAGAAGCAGATAATTAGGTAGCTTTATCCTGTATTTTTTTAAATCTAATATACAAATAAATAAGGTAAATCAGGTAAATTCAAAACTAAAAAATTGTGATTGTGTCTGGTCCAATCAATTTTATATAAACGAAACTGATTTGAATTTGAGTGTACGTTGCAGTAAACCAAATAAAACATAAATGCATAAACACCAGTGTCTCCTTTCACCATTTGGCTGATGCTTTTATCCAGAGTGCTTTATTGGATTGCCCTACAGGGAATGGAACATTACCCTTGCAGTATTAGCGCCACACTTTTATCCACTGTGCTGTATCAAGATAAAACCTTTAAAGCAAAGCAACTCCCTTACTGGTCATAAAGTACAGTGGGAACAGCTGTCTGCCCAGTCCTGTCGTTGGGATGGAATTACTCACTGTATAATAGACCTTTTAATGTGATCTCGACCTTTAAGTGATAAGCAACTAATGCTCTGTAGGATTTCACACAGAATGGGTTGGCAGTTGTTTGGTACTGTGCACGTCTGTGATTGGTTCTCCACACAACCATTAAGTCTGCCACTGGTTAGTAGATCAGTGCTGAGGCCTGTAACTGTAAAAAAAAAATTACACACCTTTTTTCTGGAAGATTTGGCTGCTGACAATTTCAGTCATGGAGGCCACCTTCTGCTTCTGGAGTGTCTCAGGGGGGATGCAGGAATAAAAGTCATGCAGCAACTGACTGGAGAGAGAGAAAGCCATAGGCGGTGGAATAAATAATCAGCAAGATCATTATAGGGGAAGAGCAACAAGTTTGTTTTCTAGAAAATGAGCACAATAAATATTCAAGAATTTGTTTCTACAAATTACTGCAAGAGTTTTGAATTTTAACTAAAAAACTCTATTTATACCCACAAACGTAACTGATTCAAAGATGGAAAACACAAACCTATTTTAGTAAGTGAAGTTTTAAACATCAGTTCTCTAAGGTTGTACAATATGCAACCACTAAAAGCAATGGTTGTGCAGCATAGACATGAGCAGAGCAGTGACGTCTGCATGAAAACAAATTAGCCAAAGTCTAACCACACTTTAATGAAGACACAGGTTTGAGTCATCCTCCACCCAAAATTCAATTTTAGAATAATTAAACAGGCTGGTTGCAAGCCCTGATGCCACTTAGAAAGATTGAATGCTCAGAGCATGGCAAACCCTCTGTCTCCATTTGTCTCTCTCCCTAAATCATGCCACACAGGTTGCAAAAGCACTTTCAGTAATGGTATGAAAGAATGAAATGCATCACCTCTGCTCCCAAACCCAAACACAACAAAAAGGTTTGTATGACTTTTGATGTGCATAAGCTGGCACGAGGACACGCTGGGGCACAGAGGCTCAGTAGAGACTTATCAGGCCCACTAATCATCTGAGCTGAATTTAATTAAAACCCAAAATATCAGCCTATTTCCACATGGAGATACAAAGGACACAGACAGCAAACAAAACACATGCATAACGGACAATGTATGTGCTTGTACCACTTTGTGGATCACACTACAGGTGAGTCTACAAGTAATGGGACTATACAGAGGATGAGACAAAGCTTTGATGTCCACCTCATGCACGTCATTGTAATTCACATAGCTTGCTTTTGGAGACTCTGCCTGAGGCAATTCTGATCAGGAATGCAATAGGGACCTTACTTTCAAGTTTAGATGGCTCGGGTATTTTTGTGCATGTGTGTGTAAAAAAGTGGAGAAGACAAACAATAAGGGTGAATTAATGTCTGTGTAGGAGAGAGAAAGAGAAATGACAGAAAGTGAGAATATGTGCGCTGATTTTTAACTCTCTGCTCCTCATCACCTTTCTACCTGTGCATGTGTGTATTAGCTTGTGTCTGTTTGGTGTTAAAGGTAGCACCTTTTTGATGCTGTGTTGACACTGAGCCACTCAAGGGACTGAAATGGTAGATGAGAATAATCCACAAGCATACATATCCACACACAAAAAAGCACGCAGAGGTCACAGAAAGGTAAAAAAATAAATTATGGGGGCGAGGTTGTTTGAAATTGAATGTGACAAGTCCAGAAAACATCAATTAAATATTATTATTTCTGTAAAATAATAAGATCATACCAAGACAATGGATCCATGTTTGGTTGTGGAATTGCTAGAGGACAAATACAGTGTCTTTCCTTTGGAAAAAAATGCCCCATCTGGTAAAGTATATACTCTGAGGTCATTTCCTGAGCTAAAGAGTATATCATAAGTTTGATTCTGGGTCAAAGAGAGGTTAAACAAGCGAAGAGGAGAGAGAAGAGGTTCAAATGGGTTTTGTTTGATGGTTTCACTGAAATTGTCAATTCAGTCAAGAGAGCAAGGAGGAGGTGCAGAGTGTGTTTGAGTGTATGTCCTTGTGTATATGTCAGTTTGATGAGATTTTTATCACCTGATAAAGAAGGTAAAGCTCGACCAGGATGGAATGTGTGGGTGACAGAAGGATGGGGGTCACTGAACAAAGCCAAGACGAAAACTTGAGCTAAGCTGAAAGCTCCATATATCCTCTCTGTCAGTGTCCCTGAATGAGACCAAAGATAAGGCACTAGTGTGTGTTTGTCTGTGTGTGTGTCTTTGTGTGTTTGTTTGTGTTTGTGTTTTTTAAAGGTAAGCTTACCTGAGGAGTTTGGCATCAAACACTTTCTCAACATCATGCAGGACTGTTGGCAGGTACTTCAGAGCAGCGACCTGATGACACACACACACACCACAAGTAAACACCGTTTAATGACTGTCTTGAAATCCTGTGGAAGTTGTTGGTGAATGGAAGGTGACTTTGCCATCAAACAGTCTCTCATCACAAGTGTGAGAAAAGGCCTTCTTTATTTTTCACAGGGCCACTTGTCAAAAATGTCTAACATTTTGTGACTCGATCTGTTTGTAGGTCCGCCAGTAGTGAGAATGAGAGGACATTAAGCATTAATCAGACTGAGAGATCAAGTTTGAGTATAAAGCTGAGACAGGGACAGACAGGAAATACAAAACAACAGAAGAAGAAGCAGAAAAGTAAGAAAATGGGGTAAGGATAAGGACAAGTAGAATGTAAAGAGGAGTACTACGTGGTGAAGGATGGGTGAGCGTGTGTAATTACCCTGAGCAGCAGAGTGGTGGTGTAGTCTGTTCTCATCAGGCTGTTGATGGACTCAAATAGCCTCCTCAGTGACTCCTCAAAGTCTGCCTGCTCCTTCCCTTCGTACAGCCTAGGAGGACAGGAGGAAATTAATGGAAATGCCACAGGAAACACAGAGGAGGGCAGAAAGGGAGAAAGCATGACGTGACATGATTAGCAAGGGAGATGGAGAGAGGATGAAGGAGGCGAAACACATTAAGAAAGGAATTGAAAGATGAGACAAAACAACAGGGGAGCTGAATAATCAGTGACGGTAAGGTGTGGAGAGACAGATTAAAACACAAGGGTCAAAACAAAGTCAGCTGACAAGAAGCTCAATTTTGATGGGGTTTCTTTTACATTTTTTCTGTGCAACAGAAATATAGAAAGTTTATTGAGTGAGGCAATAACTTAAACATATAACAATATGAACAATATAACTGACTGTAAGTGCATACAGGTTAGGACCACTGGGACCTATAAATATGTTATATGTTTTATCATGACGGTCACTTCCTGTGACCATAACCTGATACCCCCTGGTGAGCAGCCGCAGCAAAACTGTTTGATCACTTTTACTCTTTTCTCCTCAAGCTCACCGTGGCTCTCTGAACCTCGATGTGATCTGGTTAGGTAACGTACAGTGCATATTGATTCACATAACTTAACAGTGTTCACAGCTAAGCATAATGTACTTATTGTTGTAATCTTGTTATGGTTGATATTAGGTTACTGGGCAACCCCAGTTCTCTACTACACCACTAAGGTGATGCTAGTTAATGTTCCACACAAAGTCTTTTCAATGCAATTAACCTAAGATCACACACACATATTTGCCTTAAATTTGCCTTAAAAACAACCACACATGTGGAGAGGAAACCCAAACCTTCTGCTTCACCTTGTGTCTCAGACCAACGGGTGTTTCATACTCAGCTGAACATACAGTCAGAACTAAGACACAGACACATTTTTTCTGCCATGCAACCACACACTCACTCACACACATACACACATATTATGTGTGCTTCCTTTTAATATTTCTTTAATAAATGCTTGTGTATATACTGGACTGTTTAATGTAGCACAAAAGTGGGGGATGCCAGCCTCTTCTATGTAGAGCTCCGAATCCTTCACCGTACCCACTATTGATATGGTAATTGTGGGCAATTGTTTTCCCTCCTTTAAGGGTGGTGTCTTGAGGAACTTAGACATGAATTAAAATTTCTTTTTAAAAAAAATTTCGTTATTATCTTTGCCAATTTTGATAGCCAAAATTAATTGAATGAACCTACAATTTGGTGCCGCCTTACAATAACTCGAGGGATCATCATGCTTAATAAGCTGATTCTTCATCTTACATAGGTTGTTTTTCTTTCACTAAAACATATACTTATGGAAGCCCTGACTCTAATAAACAGGTGAGTTTTTGTGTAGCAATCTTTAAGCCAAGACATACATCAATACATTAAACAAACAAGCCCTGTTTTGTATTGACGCCCCATTGTCTTGCTTTTAAACATTCTATTATTTCTCCACTCCACTGGGATGTAAATTATTCTGCAGCAGTCAATTTTATCACAGTTTAAACTGATTCCAAGTTGGTAATGATAATGTTTTTGAAGTTCAGAGTAATCTACAAACAAGTGAAAATACACCTAAATTCTTGTGTTTTTATGGAAATGGGGCACCAACTGAATTGGCTGCAGTTCCAACATCTTGTTTAAATGATTGAAAATGCATTAAAACATGAAGGTGCTATATTGCCCTTTAAAACTTAAGTCAATACATTTTACATACGAAGCTCAAAGATCATGAAACCAAAAAGTCATACTGCTAAGTATACAGTGGGTACGGAAAGTATTCAGACCCCTTTAAATTTTTCACTCTTTGTTTCATTGCAGCCATTTGCTAAAATCAAAAAAGTTCATTTTATTTCTCATTAATGTACTCAGCACCCCATCTT